GGCAACATCCTTTGTATAAAAAATAACATGTGGCAAAACAATATATTAAAGAAAAAACTATTCAACTTCATAACTCTACTCTTATGTATTCCAATATTATAGATATGTTTTATATTAATATATGTGTATATATTTGTTATAATGTTTAATACAAAATTAGGTAAATTTTGCACTCACCGGTATTACAAGATCCAAATACTTAAAAATAAAAATAATTAACAATTTTTAGTCACTCTTAAAATAAAAAATATTACTTCTATTTCTTTTCTCATTAACTATTGGAGATTCTCCCTTATTCGGGGGTTTTATAAATTGATTATTATTTGTTTCCAAAATATGATAATTATTACATCCCCCGTCTCATTTATTTTCTCGGACATATCCTTTTTCTTCCGTTCATTAAGTTTGTGTAGCTCCGAATAGTATAATGCATATGTAGTTCTAAATCATTCTTACATTAAGTCCCTACTTTTCATTTCAACATTAGCTAGATAAACTCTTTTTTAATAGGTGCACGTGTCTCGATCTTAATGGGACAAATTTGATGTTACGTATCTATTTAATAATTAACAAGGTCTATCAGATCAATCTCTAAAGGTAGATTCATATTTTGTCTCATATTTATTTATACTTCACAATTTATGTTCAAGTTGTTAAATGGGTTAGCACTCTCCAATTTCATAGCCTGGATCATTTAACTGCCTAATGATCTCAAATTGCACATTATTTTTAATGGGGGTGCACAATACACTTATAGCTAAAATAATTCAGACTTTTAAAGGATAGGAAAGGTTGATTTTTTTACAAAAATGTCACAGCATTTTTAATTTATTATAGCACAAATTTCTATTTCAAATGAATCACAATTTTCAAATCTAACATTTCTGTTCATTCTAATTCACTTTTTACACGTTAAGGAGTCTTCTCATTTGAACTCAACCTTTTATATATACTCCGTAATATATAATTTTCAAATATAACGTTCTGGTACATATATAGAAATAATGTTAGAATATTTTATTTGAATAATTATTATATATAGAAATAATAGTTCAACAAGAGTTGTAAATTAATAAGTATATTTGAAATTATTTGGGTAGAATTGTAGAAAAGCATCAATATTGAAGATAATAAAAGTAAAAACTAGATGTTTACATTTTGGTTGACTCGCAACCTACATGGGGCAACTCACTTAACCTGCTACCCGTGCAAGTTGCACCACGAATTGAAACCGGTGAGTTCACATGATTAAAGAATGACAACTCTAACCAACCGTGAAATGAGATGAAAGGGGCTAGCCTTATGGACTTCAACTAATTTTGACAGCTCTATCCATAGTCGATTGAATTTTCTTTTAAACACTAATTGATGAATTCATGTACAATTCATTTTCCCGACAATTTTAATAAAAATTTTACGAACATATTTTCCCGTGCAGTGCACGGGTACACATACTAGTATTATAAATCTAAAATAAGGGTTAGCGTATTTTAGGGAGGAAAAATGTGTTGGTGTAACATTATAGCTATCTAGACATGCACTCAACGCTTAACTAATTGTTCGTCCTCTCCTTGGTCTTTCCGTCAATAAACGTCTGGCTTTCTTCCGTTAACACACCCTAGCCGACTCATACAACTGAAGATCGATCGTACCCTGCACATCATATTTTATGGCAAGTGAAGGGCTTCTTGCAAGTGTGCTTTTCTCGCTCGGCAGCGACTCTATTCTAATGCTTGCCGTCTACTCCCAATAAGTGCTTCTCACCACTCTACCGCCTGTAATCCCTATATGAATTAATTGGGTAGGAAAACTTTTCATTTCATACTAGGTGAGAACATTGGAAATATTCTTAGTGCATGCTAGGTGATAATTTAAGTGCTGCCAGTATGTCTTACTTTGGCAGGGAAACTTAAAGTTATTGAAGCATATTATGTGTTTCTGAATATGCACAAGTGAGATTTTACATTTTAGACTATACATGTACTGGATTTATAGGAACCAGGGATCCAACTCTCCAAGAAGCAACAAGATAGATGAACTATTAGAACAAAGAATACTATTTTGTTTATGGTTTAGAATAACTATCAAGCCATACTATCAAATGTTAGAATAGAAGAGTAAGAATAAAGACTTTTCTTATTTGAAAATCGATGGATATATTTAAGTCTTTGTACCATTTAAGTTTACCATAAACATTAACCAATTAAGAGAAATGCCCGTTTCTTTAAAAAGGTGAACATATAACATGTCAAATGATCTCTCCAAATTAGCTTTTCCATCCATTTTATACTGCTATTAAGTTTAACATACAAAATTTATCAATGACACTTGTTTCACAGTATTTTTATATTTTGCCGTGTAAAAGAAAATTATTGCACAAGAGCTACAAATAATTAAGAAAGCTCTACTAAACCTAAAAAACGTAAGTTCCTCTCTTCTTGTACTGACTAAGCGTAATTTCTTTTCAGATTAGTTATCATTTGTAGATGACGCCTCATCAATGAACCCATGTAAAATATATATTTCTCATCAGATTACATGTGCAGATTAGTACATATATTTATCTAAAATATTTCACAGAGAAAAAGTTCTACTATCTCTGGCCTTGCTACAAGCACTGGACACAGGTCTACTTTTTAAATGACACACTTAGTAGTAACTTACAAGATATAGTATAAATATTTCTCAAATACTTGCTATTTTGTTCAAAAGCGGTAAAAATGGTTGGTACAAATATCATATAAAATTGAAAGGAAGATTTAATGTTAATGATTGGACATCGTTTTTTCTTTTGTGTATTGAATGTTAAAGCAAGAAACATCAATAACTATTTTAAGTATTGATGATACTTACAACAATGATGCAAATGACTAGATTTGGTTTTAACCCCTCAAGGGTTAGTTCCATTTCTTTCATCGTGTATCACCCTCGTTAGTTAGGCTACACACTCAGAATTCATTTTCTTCTTCTCATACATGATCCACATGCCCGACTCTAGCATCCCTAAATTGCTTTAATTCCTTGATTTTCTCTCAGGTATCTGTTATTATTATTTTCTTCCTTCATCGTCTTCCCACCATTCACTCAGTTATTGATTTCTTTTTTTATGATGATTTGATTTAGAGATTTCATACAAATTTCAATTAACGCTCGATCATAGGTCATAACCATTAGAGGTGATGCTTTGCTCTCTTGGTAGAGGCTCTATCCGTTGCTCAACACTCTACTCTGGGTAAACTTTTAGCCCCTGGCATTTGTTTACTGCCTATTTTTTTTTTATTGATTTTATTTTCAACCAAAAGTTATCCTTGGTTTCATCCACGACATATTATTGTTATTGTGATGTTAGTTTATTTTAGTTTCTTTAGACTCATTGTTCTCTTTTAGGTTTCAGTTGTTAGTGTTGATTTTGCAAGCCATTTTCAGGCTTTAGCATTTAGAGTAATTTTATAAAGTTTTGATATCTCGCTAATATCCTAACCAACTTGAGAGAGCCCTTTTTGTTTCCAGTTACACGACCCAATATAGCTACCTATCTGGCAAATGATATCCTACCGTACTTATTACTTTATTAGTACATGCTATTTCATATGTTCATATTATGAATAGGTCAAGTTCATATACATTTGTATATGTTGGAGGTATTGGTCCTACCAAGGTCTCCCTTTTATTTTATTAGTGACTTGCACCCCATGTTTACTCTCACTTAATACCCTTTGTTTGAATCTTTTCTAACCAATAATATGGTTATTGCCTTATGTGGAGTGACCACATCTTGAGTTGTCTGCTGCAGTCTTTCCTTGTCTTTGCATCACCCGTGAGTGTCCTCTTGTTGGTCAGCCTATTATTTATGTAGCTCTTCTTCTTCCTTGAGAGAGCAGCCTGCGTGAGATATTCCAGAGAGAGCAGTGTCCTTCTTCTCCATTTCCTTTGTGTGAGAGTGTGAGAGAGAATACCTTAGTGGTGGAGAAGAAGCTTGGTGAGGTGTTATGGTCTAGCCTAGAGTGGTGTGTGTGAGTATAGCAAAAGGGTTGGAGACCTGAGCTGGAGACGAATCGATCCTCAACAGTGGTATTGGAGCCAGATTCTGCCTTTCGCCGCCGTCCGCCGTCGTCCACCGTCATCCGCCGCCGTCCGTCGCCGTATGCCGTCGTGAGCAGCTCGCCCAAATCTGTTCTTCGATTTCCGCAGGGAGACAATTTGAGGAGCTCGGACACTGAAGCAGAGGGCTTGACGCCAGGGGCGGATTGGGCCTTAGGCCAGGCAGGGCCTAGGCCCAACCTCAATTTTTTATTTTTTTTAGTATATAGGTTTAAAAATAAGGCCCAGTCTCAATTTTTTTAAAAATGTTTATATAGAGCATTCTTGCCGTCTTGGTCCGTGATTCATCCGGAGTCCGCACAGCACAAGTCTCTCCCAACACTACAGTCTCCAGCGAAGCCCAAAATTGGCACGGCCCAAAATTGAAAATTCGAAATCCAAGTTATCCAATCCCAAGCCAGGCGCGGAAAAGATGTAGCAGTCGAGGTTTGCTTCTTTACGCTTCCGCGAGGTCGGCAAAACCCCCATAAGCCAAATCCCAATTCCTGACCCCCGTAGCAATCTAGCACGCAGCAGTCCTAGTCCATCTTCAGTCTGCCGGATGGCGCAAAGGCAATTTAGATTGTTTAGTTTCCACTCGACTCCTCTAATTGCTCTTCGATGGTAAACTGACACTCTGAGAGCTGCTCTTTGGTGGGTCTTACTCCTGAGAACTGCTGCCTAAGTCACTGCTAAAGTGCTAAGTGCTTAAAAGGTATGTTTTTAATCATTTAATTTTATTGTATCTTTAATTCAAGTTAAAGACTAATTTACAGCTTTGCTTAATATGAATTTGATTATTGTTTGTAAACTTGTTAATTGTAATCATCATTTATAGTATGAATTTGCTTGTAATTTGTTATTATTAATCTAATTATTAAGTAATTAACATTAGTGTAGTAATTACTGATTAGTCATCCCTTTATTTGTAATGAAGTGATTCTATAACCCTGTTGAAGTAGGAACTAATGGAAGTAGCTCATCAAGATTTCTAGTGCATCAACCATAATTCAAGAAAATTCAACAACAAATGACGAACAAAACAACATAAATACCCTACAATCATTGACCACTAATGAGTTTGATTCTTACCAACTCCTATCTGACCGTGGATTGAGACTACCGATCTCAAGATATAATCCAAATATCAGAGATCAAGTTCGAATAGCATATTTGCATAAAGGCCCTTGTCAACTGTTTGAGCATGATGTAGTGTTGAAAGAGTATTTTCAGCAATAAATATCATGAAAGTTAGGTTGAGAAACCGGATGAGTGATGACCGGCTCAATGATAGACTTGTTGTTTATGTAGAAAGAGACATCTTCTTGAATATTGACAATGATGTCATTATCAAACGATATAAATCGATGAAAATCTATAGAGAACAATTGTAAAATTATGGTGTTTATTGCATTTGACTTTAATAAAAACTTTTATTCCTATAATGTTTATTTTTGTCTTTGATTTTATTGCTAGATTAAATGTTTTATTCAATATCCATTTTTTAATTAAAGTTAGGCCCCCGCTGAATGTGAAAGTTAGATCCGCCCCTGCTTGACGCAGTGCTTAACTGGAATTGGAGGCTTACAGACCTGTCGCTGGAAGTCTGTTACTCGTGGCTGGAGGTTGCTTGCCACTGAGAAGGCTCGTTGGAGCTCTGCCATCTCAAATTCGTCCGGTTGGAAGTCAGCTGTCGCCTGGAAGCCGCAGGAGCTTTTGTCGTCCCAAATCCGTCTGTCGCTCGTCGGACCTGGAGGTGGACATTCGCCGCTCGCCACTGCTGGACGTCCGTAGTCTCTGAAACTCATCGCCGCTCGCTCTAAATCGCCGATTGAAATTCCGTGTTGCTGAAGCGTGTTGCTGATGCCTGGACCCAGACGCTATGGAAGGAAACAGAACGTAAGCTTGGATTTGGACTGGAGTTTGAGCTGCCCAAGTGTTGGGCTGGATTGGACTTGGAGCTTGAAGCCTGGACGGGTGTTGTAGCTTCAAAACTGGAACTGGGCTTAAGCAGGCTACTGGACTGCTGGAGCTGATTGGTTGTTGGACTGCTGGAACTGGTGAACTGCTGGACTGGAGTAGAGATGTCAAAAAACCCCGACCCACAATGACCTGCCCTGGCCCAAGACATTTGGGGCGGGGCGGTCTTGCAAATGGGGCGGGTCCGCCCCGCCCCGCCTATACAATGGGGCGGGTCCGGGTATTAGAATTGACCCGTGCCGCCCCGACCCGACCCGCTCAATATATAAGTATACATACTTTTTCTTAAATTAAACTACAAATATACTTCTACATACATATGAATGTATACAATAAATCATAAATTCTTAGATCTTATAATATATGAATATATATTAGAATGAGATGAACGACGGATTATCAATGTCTTCTTTATATATAGAATTTTAATACATATATTCAATTATTAATATAAGTATATAACTAATTAGATTAACTATTCAAGTCTGAGTAATTTTTCCTTAATTTTTGAAATTTTTAACGTATCATGAATTCGTTTTAATATATTGATTTTTAATTATTATTTATACATAAACTTTATGTAGATTCAATTGGTAACAACTTCCCACAAATAAAAACACATACTAGCTAATAAGGTTGCGGCGAGGCGGGGCGGGTCATGGGTCAACAAGTTTGGACCCATGCAGGTCACGGGGCGGGGCAGACCCTCCCCGCCAAGTTACGGGGCGGGTCCGGGTCTTGCAATACCCGCCCCGCCCCGACCCATTGCCATGCCTAGACTGGAGCTGAGTTGCTTCTTTGTTGCTGGGATGAAGTGGACTGCTGACTTGGACTGCTAGAGTTGCTGGTCAACGGTCAGACAGTTGGTCAACGCCGGTCAAAGGCAGTCAACAGTCTGAAAAATCCCAATTTTAATTGGGTGGGTAAGGTCTAAACACTCTCCTAGTGTTTGGCTGTTGTAAGTCTTCTTTATCCAAAATTTCAGTTTTTGCTTTTCAATTATTTTAAGAGATAATTACCCTAGGTATGACTAAAACTTCTACACTTTCTCCATCTATGACCTAACTAGTTTTTTTACCAAAATAATATTAAAATTCATAATATTAAATTAAAATTAGTAATAAATAAATAAATAATTTTTTAGGTAGACAAATATATCCTTTAGGTTATATCTATAAAACCCCAAGCTCCTACTCTTTTCTCCAACCCTATCCTTCATTCTCTCACCCCCATAGATCCACCCGCCCGCAGCCGCACACCCCCCTGGCGTTACCTCCCCATGGGCCGCCGTCCGTCGCCACCCCATGGCCTACTGCACAGCCGCCTGCCGCCAACTCAGGTCACCTTAGGATGGGATCTTTTTGGCACATCTTTTTCGTCGCACGTCGTTGATCTCTTCAGCCACGTCCGTTGCTAAAATTGAAGGCAGACTTTGGAAAGCTAAGGAGGCACTGTATTATGTGGCCATTTAAGGGTGCGATTTTTTCCATTAAAATCAGTCGATCATTACCTTTAAAAGATTTGTTCCCAAATTTAGACTGTGATGGTAAAATCTTTAAGGCTGCGATATGTTCCATTTTTTTAACGAGCAATCTGTTCCATAAAAAAAACGAGTAATAACTTATTTTGTTCTCTTTTCTTTTACGTTTAATTTTTAATAATCTTTCAAAATATGTATTCTGCTTTTTACGTTTAATTTGTACCTATATGTTGTGGTTAGTGTTTTTATTTCGGTGGTCAGCTCTAACTTTATTGTGATTTGTGACTAATACAGTTAATTGATTTAGGGTTTGGGTGCATTAAATATGGGCATTGAATATCGACAGTAAACATTGCAAATAATGTTGAGTATGAGCAGTGAATATATATGGTTATAGACATATTGTACAAGGTAGTGAATGAATGCATTAAGATATTTTATTGTGCAGTGATTATGACCAGTATTGCAGTAATACAAAGCAGTAATATCATCATGAAAGACAATATAATTAATTAGACGCAAAATAATAAAATTATTAAATCTAAAAGACAAAAAACAAAAATAAAAATAAATTCCTCGAGTAAATGAGAAGAGAATTAATTTTGACTGAAGCGCAGTGATTATTACCGGATGTGCAGTAAAACAGTGCATTAATGTTGTGCAGTAACGACAATATAAAGTGCAGTAATTTTAATTGGATTAAATTAATGCAAAATGTACATATTTTAAATAAGGGTATTTTCGTCATTCAATCTTTAAATATAAACGGGATTGATTTTTTTTTTTTGGTCATATAAAAGTCTAAAAACTAGTTAGGTCATAAATTGGGAAACTCATTGAGTTTTAGTCATATCCCGGTAAATTTCCCTTATTTTAAATTGTTAGAATTTTTTGTTGATTTAATATTTGCTAGATTGTATTTATTTGTGCTACTGTTTAGCCCTATAAATATTAAGTTGTTTTTCTAGCTAAAGTTGCATTTTATACTTTTTCTTGTTTAGTTTTTTCTGTGTGAAAATGTCTGCTTTTAATAAGTATGGAATGGCTCCATTTAATGGAAAAACTGATAAAAAGCATATGGAAACAGAAAACAAAGTGCATATTAATTCAACAAAAATCATATAGGGCCATTAGTGAGACCTATTTGGCTTCCGATACGGAAGAGAAAAAAGCAGAAATGAATGAAAATGCTTGTTCTACAATTTACTTGAACTTATCTGATTGTGTGCTCAGAAAAGTAGGAATTTTAGAATCTGCAAAATCTGTGTGAAATAAACTTGAAGAGCTTTATAATGTAACCTCTTTGCCTAACCGGATGTTTTTATTTGAGAAGTTCTTCAAATTGAGACTAGATATGTCTAAGGATATTGAAGAAAATCTAGATGTTTTTACCAAACTTATTTCGGATATTAAGTTGTGTGGTGGTAAGCATATAGATGATTATTCCCCTATTGCTCTTTTAAATGTTATTCCTGATTTCTTTAGTGATGTGAAATCTGCTATTAAGTATGGTACAGATAATGTGACTCTTGACATTGTGGTAAATGGTCTTAAGAGTAAGGAATTAGATTTAAAACAGATGGGTGAGGGTAGAAACTCCGAGGAAGTTATGCATGTGAGGGGTAGAGAAAGTAATAGTAGGCAACATAGATCTAAGTCTAGGTCTAATTTGAGGCGTTGCTATTATTGTCATGAACCTGGTCATTTCATAAGAGACTTTCCTAAATCTCGAAAAAATGAGCATAGTGAGCATGCTAATTTGACTACGTGTGAAGATGATTTATGTGATGTTTTTATGATGAGTAATCTATGTGATTTTGACTATTTGAGTTCTGTGATATCTGATTCTTTGGGTAAATCAGATTGGGTGGTAGATTCTGGTTGTACTTTTCATATGTCCCCTTTGAAAAATGTTTTTTCAAACTATAGAGAGATTGAGCATGACTTTGTGTCTTTAGCAAATGAGAAGAAATGCAATGTGCTAGGAATAGGAGATGTATGTCTTAGGTTCTCTTCTGGTTATGTGCTTACTTTGAAGAATGTTAGGCATGTTCCTGAGCTGTGTTGTAATTTGCTATCTTGTGCTTCTCTTGAAAATGAGGGTTTGAAGGGAAAATGGGGAAAGTGAATCATGAAAGTTGTGAACGGTTGTTTAGTTGTTTTCAAAGCTGAGATGAAAAACAACTTGTATGTTTGTCATGCTGAACCCGTACTTGATTCTGTGAATTGTGTGCAACCCTGTGTGCTAGGAAAACAGTCTAGAGTTGGTTTTCATGATCTGCCTTAGTGTACTAATGTGCTTGATTGTATTCATGCTGATTTGTGTGGTCCTTATAGTGTTTCCACTCATGGTGGGAAAAATTATTTTCTGACGTTGATTGATGATTTTTCAAAGAAAGTGTGGGTTTTGTTGATTGAAAATAAATCTGAAGTTTTTGATAAGTTTAAAAACTGGAAAACCCTTGTTGAAAAACAAACCGGTAAGAAAATTAATTTTTTAAGGACCACTGTCAGTTTTGATTTCTGTGATGATCAGCTTAGAGATTCATGTGATACGTGGGGTATTTCTATGCATAAATTTGTTCCCACCACACCCCAACAGGATGGGGTTGCTGAGAGGATGGTTAGAACTTTATTAGAGAGGGTGAGGGCTATGTTAGCTTCATCTGGGCTCTCTAATAAATTCTGGGGGGAAGCTATTTGTTATGCTGTTGATTTGGTTAATCTGTCACCGTTTGTTCCCTTGGGAGGGAAATGCTCTGAATCCGTGTTCATGGGCAAACCGCTTGACTTGCCAAATTTGAGAGTGTTTGGTTGTGTTGCTTATGTGAATCGTGAGAATGATAAATCTGGACCTAGGACTAAGGAATATGTTTTCTTAGGATATCATGATTGCATGAAAGGTTATATGCTTTGGTGTAGGAGTGAAACTTGCTTCAATGGATTGATGAGTAGAATTGTCATTTTTGTTGAAAATGAATTTCCTTGCCTGCTTGTTTCTCCAAATGTTGCTCCAAATGAGGTGGAGCATTTTCCTGTTGAAGTTCATTTTGATTTACTTGTTGAAACCAAACACAAATTTGTGAATGAAAATGTTTTTCATGGTGAAAATAAATAAAATAATATTTCTATTAAGGTGGAGCATGATATGAATGTTGTGTGCAATATGCTTGAGTTGCGTGATTGCTATGTTATTAGAGATATAGACACTAGGGAGCATGAGAGAAATGATATGTGCAAAGTGTTTGACTATATTTCCTCTGAGTTTGCTTTAAATGTGCTTAATTCTCTTCTAATTAAATTCTTTGTGATGTTTGGTATGCTATTTTCTTGGTGTTTTGAAAATGTGATACCAAGTGATTTTTTGAGCTCTACCTGTGCTAGTTATAGAAATAATATTGTTTCTTTTATTTTCTGTGTACTTGCTTTGTGTGGTTGTTGGATTAGTTGGAATCCCCAACTTCTCCCGGATGCTTGCTTGCGTGTTCTATTAACATGTGTTGTGCTTGTTAATAGTTTTGTGATGATTTTGGTTCTGAACTCGAGGACTGATTGGTAGAGTTCAGTCCATCGTGAATTGAGTGTGCATGGTAAGCTTGGTCTGAAAGAGAACTTTGGTTCTCATGTATTACTTGTATGATCGCAATGATGTACTTATAATGGTCCGGCGATGATGAGTCTCCTCACAACTTTGTATTGCTACTCTACACCACTAAGGACCAATAAAGTGGAGAATGCTGGAAGTATTGGTCCTACCAAGGCCTCCCTTCCATTTTATTAGTGACTTGCACCCCATGTTTACTCCCACTTAATACCCCTTGTTTAAGTCTTTCCTAACCAATAATATGGCTATTGTCTTATGTGCAGTGACCCCATCTTGAGTTGTTTACTGCAGTCTTTCCTTGTCTTT